TGTACTTATCTTTTCTGTAGTTTTTACTTAATACAATCAATGTAAATTTTATCTAAATAATCCACTCCTGGTAATACTATTACAGTAATACAATTTATGTTATTTCAGGCCAGAAAAAGCGGAGCAATAATTTACCAGTTTCAGAGACAAGATGATTTAAGACAGCAAATCGACATGTTCTCTTTGCAAATGATTCATACTAAAGTGGAATTTAATGCTGCTGGCCTATTAGCCATCAACTATGCTTCAGTATTTTCAGTAAGTTCCTCTTTCGATCAATAAATACAAAAAAAATTTTATCTAACAAATAAAAATTTCCAATACGTGTTTAAGTTTAATTGTTAATAATTTGTTATAGATGTTGGGAGCATTTACAATGAATTTGATTATACTTATACAATTTTCTACTGAAAAGCAATATGCACTATGTCTAGAGGTACCTTTAGAGAATTATAAATAAACTATACCTAATCAAAAGAAGAAAGAACACTAGTAGTAGAGTAAACTAACAAACAAGAACTTTTACATCACTTAACTACAACAATTTATTTTCTGGTTAAAAATTTAATTATTTTATTTTAATTAAAATTCTGAAGAACAAACCACACAAAGTGGCCTTTTTCAAATATTAAATATAATTCACTATTATAAATGTGGAAAACTAGTTTACCAAAATTATTGTGATAGAATTTCTTGTTTGTTATACGAGTTATCACTTAAATGTTACATTAGAAATTTGAAACATACAATAACTCACCTTTGAATTTTGAAGAACTGCAACCTCCTTTTTGAAAGACTCTAGATTGTGATTCATCAAATAGCACCTGGCCTTGTAGACGGCCAATTTCTTCTTGAAAGATTCTTCCACTGGAGTTGTACTTTTCTGTTTAAAAAACAAGAAAAACACAAATGTAGATAAAAAATTCATATACAAACAAACAATAAATGTACTTTATCACTTTGTTCCTTTCCTACATTTTTCCCACCTTTCAGTTCTGTTACAGAGGTGTTAGTGAAATAATTCTCTAAATACACAAGCAAAGTCATTGCTTTATCAATTTGTTTCACAGAAAGTTGCAGTTCAACAAGTAACAACCCAACTTGTTTAGCCAATGTTTCATCTACAAAACAAGCAATAAGTATATTTTTTTATTTGACTGTTTGTTTAAATTGTACCCATTGGTTCAATAAATTTGTAAACCCTTTCCATAATTCGAAGTGTCTGTGTATATTGGTTATTGTGAAAATATACTACTGCTAAGTTAAAGTGTGCCACACAGTGGTCAACATCATCAAGTTTTTCGAGTCTGATACTAAACTAAAAGAATTGATTGTCTTAACTGCAAATAAGCTTTACATGAAATACTTACTTGGTTCAATAAATAGTTTAAATTCTTCTGAAAGGCTTCAGTTTTCTTTAGTTCTGATTTATAATATTCTGCAACAATTTTATTATGAGATACCTTAAAATCGAATGTTCTGTTTTCAAGTTTATTAATTTCTTGTAAGCAGTTGTTATAATTCCCCCTAAAATATTAATACGTTTTACTTTGGATGATTTATCTACTTTCAAAGTACTCTTTTACCTGTTAAATTCTAATAAAGCCGTTTCTGCAATTTCACATTCTTGTTGAGATACACTTCCCACATATTTCTCCTCTTTGTCAGTCATTTTAGCAATTTAAACTGAAATTATTATTAAAATACAATACTATTTTTTCGCCATTGTGTTTCTTACGTTCAAAAAAACGAGGTTAAGTAACTAATTGTAAGTAGTAATCATAGACAATAGATATACAAAGGGTAATAATGGTAGTATTATAGTGTCTAAACAATACCCAACAGAAATTTAAATTAAAATACAAATTAATAATTAACATTAATGAAATCACATCATTGAAATGTTAAAAAAGGAAAAAGTAGCTTTTAAATATAATCGCATCTAGCAACTTCGTTTTAAAGCACTTTAATTACAGCTTAAATTACACTATTATCCATGACAAAAATAACCTAGAAAATATAAAATAGAATTGTAAACAAAAGTTTTTAAAATTATCTTAATATTCTACAGCATTTTTCTTAAAAAAAGACCGTAATTTTAACATACAGTAAGGGATACTCATAATGAGCAACTGGTTCGGGTATTCTTTATTTACACTAAAATAAGCAAAACAATGTATTTAATATTTTTGTTGTCTTATCCTTCTTAAGCAATGACATTAAATTAGCCAGTTTTATGCTAATACAAAAAAAAATGATGAGATAACTGTTCCTGAAGCTGTGCTCAAAATTATTTGAAAAACATTAACAGTCTAAAAAATTAGCAGCCATCAGAAGTTCTAGAGCAATCTCTGGAGCTATAGGGAACTCTGGTATTTCTGTTGAACTATTTGTATAACGAACTTTATATGTGAAGTACATACATACTTTCTGGAGTACATGCGAAGGTATTTCCCTGAAGTTTACTTCATTTGCCTCATTTTCTGCAAACTGACCAGGACCACTTAACATTGCCTTAATTGTTCCTGAAGTAAGAGCATGTTCTCTCTTAATTATAAACTCATGTCCATCAGATGAAATGAGTTTAACATACATTGCGTCCGGTCCTTCACAACCACCAAACATTCTCTCTTTAGAATCGGACATATCTACCATATCAGTACTCATGATGACGAATGCGAAAGATGACTACCTTCTTCTGATAACTTTTGATTGGATAAATCTTTCTTTTCGTCTAAAATGTTATGTATTAAAACTTAAATACGGAATAATGTCATGAAATACGATATTTACCTACCTGTTACTGTTACAGGTACAGCGAAATAGTCACACAGTTTTATTTAAATGCTGTACTGCAGAACGTTATCGCGTCTCTATATTAATTACAACAAATATAGAGATACTTTATAAATAATCGATATGGAACAATTTTAACTGACTTTTCTGTCTTTGCTAATTAAAGATTGTTTAAGACCCTTTGTATATCTATTATCTATGGTTTAAGATTTCATCTATGTTTAAGATAATTGATCATAGATAGTCGTCTCTCAAAGTCAACCATAAATGAATATTCAACTTTATTTTAAGGTGCGTTCAAAAAAATGGAATCTCTAAGAAATGCAAGTTATTTGAGGCATTTCGTGATTACCGTAATTTTCCTGGTACATTATTTCCACATATTTAGAGGGCATATGGTAATTGTTATTTCTTATGTATATTTTTAAACGTACCACTGATGCTAAATAATTACTCTAGGGTTCCATTTTACCTCAATTTTAAAAATATTTGTTCCGGATTTCCCCTATTTAATAAAGATGAGTTTGAAGTGTAATTAATTATTATAGATAAAGTTATATACCAAATTAATTAATTATATTATTATTCATTTACACACTTTTTGTCGGTATAACACTTTTTCGATACCCCCGAATGTCGGGTTTGAGATGTCTGATTCCTGTTCCATTTAACCTTAATCTAAATCTTAAAAAAATAATAACGAAAAAACAAAAGCGAAATTTGCTTTAAAAACTTTTATGTTGCAAGAAAACGTAAACTCATGAGAACGTTTCTTTTTGTATTTCGCCGCACGTATTATATTATTATTATTAAATTTCCGTGGCAAATGATGGCGTGAATGGAAAAGCGTATGCTTTAGTGCACTATGTGTTTCCCCTACCCTAGTGTTCGTAGTCCTATCCCTCTTCTCNTAAGTCTTTTTATCTACACTTTTTTATACTAGTAATTAAGAAAATAAATAAATAGAAAATATATTTTAAATGCAGGGGTTGCGGGTATTCTTATTGGACACCCAATGGACACAATTAAAACCCGCCAACAGACTTTAAATTTAAGTGCATTACATACAATTACTGCAACTTTAAAGCATGAAGGTATTCGGGGATTTTATAAAGGCATGTTATCACCCCTTTTGACAATCGGACCTATTAATTCCCTATTTTTTGGAGTATACGGAAACGTACTTCAATTACTTCAACACAATGCAAATTCGGAAGGAAGAGTAGATTGGACCGATCCCTCTTGGAAAAAAAATGTATTTTTAGCGGGTATTTATAAACAATGTTACAATCCTCAATCGTTTATATATTTATTGCGATCAATTGCAATAGGTTGCGTTGGAGGTTTCGCACAATGTTTCATTATATGTCCGGTAGAACTAATAAAAATAGAACTACAACTTAACACTCAAGATTCGTTTGGAAAAAATAGTCATACCGAAATTCCACACAAAACTCCATGGAGTGTTACCAAATATATAGTACAACAAAGAGGAGTTCCTGGATTATTTAGAGGCTTTGTGCCAACAATGTGGAGGTAATATTTCAACAGTTACAATAAATGAATGACCTACTTTTACCTTATTACCGTAAAGTTATTAGTTTTAATACTTTTGTAATAATCACGAACTTTTCGAACGATTCAATTCATTTACATTATGTCATTATACTTTTCCAGTTCCGTTATATGGGTCAAAGAAGGTTATCTCACTTTTTTGTTGATAATTGAGGATTACTTTAGTTATTACATTATTAATTCTCAATAATCATACGAATACGCGAAAAATCACGTTATTAAATGCAACGCTTCGTTCTAGTGAATATACAGGGTGTCTTATAACATGGAGTCTACAAAAACAACGTCTAACATCCTGCATGATTGCTCATAAATAACTTTTCAAATGCATAATGCTTACTTACAGGGATATCATTCCTAGCGGTTGCTATTTTTTGGGTTATCAGGCAATTCTTGAAAGTCTCGAACAGCGCTTTCCACATTATCATTCCCTAAACGAAATGGTGTCGGGTGGTTTAACAGGTATAGGTTTCCAATTAATTTTAAAACAATAATCAAAACTAACACTGCGCACACCGCACAAAAATATGAGAACAGCACAAAATGTGACGCTTTTAAATAGCCGCCATCTTTTAACTGTCGTATTGTTGCAATAACAATTGTACAGTAGAAATTAAATGACACATAACCATAAGGTGTATACCCACAGATAATTTACTAACACAATAACAAAAGGGGAATACCCCAAATACAATTAATTTTGAAAAGTGGAAGATTTCTTCAGTTTTTCTTCTTCAGAGATATGATTAGTTCAATGATCTATATGCCATTGTATGAAAGTTACTTGATTTACCACAAATCTACGAGCATTTACCACATTGCATTTGCTGGGGGTTTAACAGGTACGTTATAATTTGTAAAATAATTTGTTTTGCAGCTAACGTTTTTTGACTGAAATAAAAAAAATGCCACATGACAAAATGACCCTTTAGGACAGGATTTCCTAACTTTTTACTAGTCACGGACCAATTACAAAATTTGAATTGTAAGAAAAGAAAACAAGGAAATTTAAAAGACAACAATCAGTTAATTAGTAAGAAAGTTGCTGCTTGTTTTAAAACTTTTTGCATGATTATTTAAATAATTAACATGGGCCTCATATGGTTAAGAAATCCTGCCTTAAAATCACCCATATATACGCGCCAGATTCTACCTCCACCATATACTATCTTGAAAATATACTAAACTTTTGAATAAAAATTAGGAGTTTTTTCTTGGGCGTGCGTATATCCTTTCGATGTAATAAAATCAAGGATTCAGGCAGATAATCCAACAAGGCTACAATACAGAGGCATGGTAGATTGCATCTGCAAACTGTACCAGCGAAAAGGCGTCACCGTTTTCTCAAGAGGACTTTCGGTGTGTTTATTACGCGCATTTCCTGTTAATGCAGTCACTTTCATAGGCTATGAAACAACTCTAACAATATTCCAAAAAATTAAGAAAGTTTCCACCACTTATTGATGTTGAATATCATAATCTAAACAACCACATCACGATACACCGGTTGACCTGTAGATTTGGGTACTACGTGACCATTTATAGTAAGATTTAAAAATCTTACAAAATTGTAGGTGTATTTTCGTGGGTTTTTGTGATCCCGTTTGATGTCGTCAAGTCCAGAATTCAAGCAGACAGTACGGTGAACCCGAAATATCACGGAATGATCGATTGTATGGTAAAGTCTTACCGCGAAGAAGGTGCTTCCATATTCGGCAAAGGTTTTACTGTGTGTATGGTGCGAGCTTTTCCGGTCAACGCTGCAATATTTTTCGCTTACGAAGTGGCAATCGAATTTATGCACAGTTTACACGGAAAAACAAAACACTAAAATGAAAATTGTATTGTAAGTTTAAGTAAAAATACTTATATACGCCTATGATTGGACTAATGATCTTTTAAAATATTTCTTTATGGCACATGCATTTGTATTGTAATAAGAATTGTGTGTAAAAATGTCTTTGTTTAATAAAGATGGTGGAATATGTATGGTAATTCAATCAATTTTTCTTAACTTCACTGTCTGTTAGAAATTAAATATGTTAAAAAGTAAGTTAATCTTCTGTGTGTAGAGCAACCTATCATCATAATAATCTTTTTTAAATGATTTTGCGTTAAAATGAATGGAAAGAAACTCATTTGAATCCAGTCTTTCCATTACTTTAAGTAATCAAGTTTTGGTAGTAAAAACTAATGCAACTTATCAACTATTACGATTCTCAAGATCGCCATTGTTATTTCAATAGGTATAACGAAACACAATAAAAAAAAAACTAATTAAAAGAAAGACGAGACGAAAAGACTTCTGTGTGGCACCAATGCTCTTTTTCAATCTACTGAAATACAGGACATTTTTAGATCATACATTTCTGTATAATTACTAAAATAAAATAATCAGAATGTGTTAAACACACATATCATAATCAATAGTGTTTCGGCACAAAATACTATTGCCATCACTTTGTATATTATTTTTAATTTTAGACAGGTAGTAGAATAGTTTTGTAGATATTTGTGTACAGTATCGTAGTGTTATAGTTATTGTATTGTATTATTGCAGGTAGTTAATCTTAAGTAGGTATGTAGGAACTCAGATTTAGGGAAATAAGCGTAAAAACCAACCATAAGTTTATGCCATCGACCATTGCACCCTTCAGGTAATTGTCATTACTATTTATAATTTTAAGTAAATAAGGTGTGAGCAGCTCTCACCCTGCTTTCATTCATTTGGAAGATAACATAAAAACCTAAATTTTGTACAGAAACAGAGTTCATTTTTGACCAGTTGAGACAGCAGTGCTCTAAAACAATTAATAATCAAAATAAGTCTGTTCTGCGACTAGCTGAGACAATTCCTCCCAAACATTAATTTAATTATAATAATTTGTAGGTTTGTGTAAATAAATAGTTTCTTCTGATCGTGTTTGTTTACTATAAACTTTGTGGTCCTTCGAGTTTTTAAGTGGTACAGCAGTACACCCGTTGTGGCAGCTTTTAACTATCCAACATAAAAAAACAAATAGTATGATAATAAACATTAAACCTTTGATAGTACTTTTTTTATCGTATTACACAGAATCAAGTGTATTGAATAATCCCCACTAAATCTGCGGATCTTCGTATTCTAAGGAATTGTAATAAACAAACCGTTTAAAATCTATTTTATATTGACACCTTAAATTTCTAGTTCAGTATATTTTTCAGAAAACAATAGAAATTTTAACAATATATTCATCATATATATCTACAAGATTTATAGTTTTCAGATATATTACATAACTTATAAAGAGAAAAAGGGTAGGCCGACATGGGGCCCAACTATTCGCGCTACATGTCGTAATTAAACGTACAAACGTCGGACTAAATCGCGCCTCAAACCTCAACTGTGAACCTCCCAACACGTAACACAATATCACAAGGGTATCACAAACTACGCGACTTCATTTGCTATTACATATTTTCATGGTCTGGCAACAAAAATATTTACTGTAGTGTTAAAAAAAACCACAATGCACAGTGGATGTTAATTTTACTAATAGTACACGACCCATTAAAATCCGACGATTATAATGTAATAATTATATCATACGAGATAAAACACCATCTACAACACTATAATTCGAAATTGTTTAAGAAAAACATTTTTTTTTTATATAAAAACGAGCGTTACGTGATTTAGCCCGACAACGTAAAACAACAGGGTATAACTAGTAATTTGAGCTGTCGTATTAATTGTAAATGAATGCTTTTTTCCATATTTATTTAATAGTTTATTCATATTGTTGTTGTTGTTGTTGTTGCTTTTCGCCGTAATAATTTACTACCTAAAACACAACTTGTTATCTTTTAATATATTATCATTATCATAATTATATATAAAGCTTCTACATAAACAAAATAGTGCTTCTATAAAAATTTAGTAGGGTGGCACCATTGTATGTATACAAAATTCTGGAGGCCCCGTCGACTGTACTAAACTAGTCACTCTACAAGAGTGATAACTGCTCCTAACTGTCGCTCCTTTTCACCTTCAGTTATAAAGAAACAAACAAAAAATAACCCCAGTGTTCAAACAAAACACGTTCGCCTTCGTTCATTATGACTGTACTACAGATCGAATTTTGTCAACAAACTGAAATAACGTTCCGAAACTTACAATACAATGAAGAATAAACCCGCTGAAATCACAAAAAATTGTTTTCGAAAAGGAGTCGTCAGTCGTTTTTAAGCCCAAAGAACACGACCATCATGCTATATATATGTATATTTATATCGGTTAGTTCAAAGAGCAGGAATACGAAACAAGTTTTAGTGTCACGAAGCAGGCGACTCGGTCCTCCCTGTACAAGTATAGATTAAAATCTCACACACTCTTCCGAAGAAACAAGTACATACAAAGTAATTCATTATTACGGAAAAATAATAAGTTAGAAGTAACAAATTTAAACAAGCGTTCGACAACTTGAAACCGATCCGCCAGCGTAGGGTGATTAATTAATCAATTAAGAATTACTCTAAGTCCATTGAAAAATTCCCAACTGCCCTTCGCTATAAATAAATAATTCCAAACAAACAAACACAGAGGAAAAATCATTGTGAAGTTCTTTTAGAATAATGAATAATTTTTTGGCAGTCACAAAATTGTTCGATGGTCCGACAACATAAAATACAAACAAAGAAAAATTAGACACTTTAGGCTGGTACAAGTTACTCACACATAATCTAATAAGTTTATCTACACAAATCGTTATCTCTTTGTTTTCTGTCTCTATAACAGAACAGCTCCTGATAAGCGCGTAATTGCAGCAGCGGTGGTGACCTTTTTTATCATTCTTTACAGGTAACTGTACAGCAGCTGTCGAAGAATGGTGGGGGAGCATCGTCCGTCGGTAGCAGTGAGACGGCGCATGCGTTCACACCACACCATACACACACACGCACGCGCACACACAACCACACACAGAGGAGGATTATGGCGCAGCTGTGAGCGTGCCTTAATAAGTCGGTTGGTAATAGGTTACGTGATTGGTCGAACTTTAATAACGCTAACGCTAATGGACATAATAATATGCACTACTACTGGTCGGACAGCGTTTGCCCTTTGCCGTTTGTTCTCAATTTATTGTAGAAGCGGACAGTTATTAAAATTAAAATAATACAATTGTTTTGAACGACGACAGTCAAATAATTTTTCATCTCTTTTCATTTGTTGATGAGATGCACGTAAAACTGTTTTGTACGTAAAAATTAAAAAAATTTATTCGACAGTTAAAAATGGAAACAAATCAGAAACATAATTATGCTACTACAGTCAAAAAGACACGAAACGTTCAACAGAAAATTATTTGTATGTAATAATAAAATAAAACAAAGGTCGTGTTAAAGAGTTACCAATGGATTCCTTTTTTATTATTTTTTATAAAATTATATGTTGTCAAAAAGCGCGTGAGAATGTAATAATTATTATTATTATTAATATATTTGCCAGCTAACCGATGTCGTGTAAACACTGTCTTAGCGAGTGATCGATTTATATGAGCGAGACGGGATAGCGAAAGGGGAGCACAGAAAAAAAGTGAGAAACGAATTAAAGGAACGGGGAGACGAAAACGAGTGAATGAGCGAGTGAGTGTGAGGAGGGGAACGAGGATGTGGTAGCGGCAGCGGCGAACCATCATGATGTCTGAACACTAACAGTAACCACCTTAACTATTTACAGTAGACCAGCTAAGTTATAGCACACGTTTACCAACCAATGTCCTCTTCCTTCATAGCTAAACACGTCACCAAACGGGAACAACGGAAGAGGGGGAGAAAAAACCGATTAGTAAAAATAAAAAACATTTGCAACCATTAAAAATGTACGTATATAACACAATAACTCACCAACAAAGAGCCATGAATGGGTAAGGTAGTAGAAGCTAAGCGGTATCACTTTTTACTGTTAGCAGGACTATTAGCGATGGCCTTTTTGTTATGATTTATTTCTAGTTCGGCAAGCTTCTTCCAGAGCTCATCCCTTTCCTTTTCTCGCTTTTTCTCCCTATAAAAGTTCATTTTAGAAAAGCAATACGAAAAGAGGGAAGCGTGTATCGGGTATCTCAACATTCCGAAATTAGTAGAAGATCGAAGTACAATAAAAACTGAAAACTTAAACTTATTTCGTCTATTGTTAAATCAGGTGGCTCATCAAGTAGTCTCCGTGTCTCTAACAGACCTTTGTGATTGCAAATTCTTTCTCATTGACTCTGTCTCATTAAGTTACATCTTTCGTCTCTTGCAAAAGTTTAACTTATAACTAATTTTACTCTCTACGCCGCTTACAATGCCTCACTTCAAAATGTTAAAATAAAAATTTGTGTGGTACTTACTTTTGCCTTTCAGCCTTATAGCTGGCTGTCAATTCATCAAATAATTTCGAGTTCATTTCCATGAACGTCTTAAGCACATTATAGACTAGTGCGACTATGGTTTGGTTCCAGTGTTCTTTCGAAATACGATACAGGGCCGGGAACATGATCGGCATAATCATGTGATTGTTCTCTTCCATCAATGACATGATGTACTCGTTGTTCCAAAAATACAAAGCCCGTTCAGCCACCTGTTTACAAAACAAGATATTACAATATGATAATAATACACTATTGTCAAAAAGCATCATTCAAAACAGTTATTTTTGTTAAGAGCGATAGATATTGATCCCAGATTCCTCACAACTAACCCATTACAGGATTTTTTAATAGTAAATTATCACTAAAATACCTTCGCCAAAATATTTAAAAGCATACTACAATTAATAGGTAACAACAAAAGCAAATATTTTTTGCAAATGAAAAAGGTAATACTAAATTTACTAGATTCTAACCTGTTAAACAAATATGTTCAAAAAACCAGAAAAAAATAAGCAATCATCTAGTATGCACAAAATCGTCGAAGCCAAAGATAGAAAAAATTTGAGTTGTTAAAAAAATTAATGTTATTCTTGATAAATAACGAAACATGTAAACAGAAACTTGTCGTTAAATATCACTTATAAGTACCTTAAAAATTACAATAAAAATAGCAAAATAAAATAAGAGAGAAATAAATTATTTCTTTAAAATAAATAAAAAATTAAACGTTAATATACGTATCTTAAGATACAAATAATGACAAGACTCACCTGAAAGTGCGGACTGGAGACACACCTGGCGATTTGCCGAAAGAGCGGTTCTTGGATTCGCGTGAATTGCGACGGTTCTATAACGTCCAGCACCTCCTCGATCTCGCCCAAAAACATCACTTCCTTTTGGCTGCACGTTTTCGGCCAGAACTTGAGTAGACCTTTAACCACCGGTTCGGTCAGCGTCGGGTCCTTCTCCAAGAACTGGACCACGCAATAGGCTAGCTGCGCGTGGTACAGCGACAGGCACTTAACCTTGTGCAGGGGGATGAGCACCTTCACCAGGAACTGCTTGTGTTCCGCCTTCAACGGCAACGCGAAGCCGTTTATTATCGAGCCAAGGATCTCGAGCAGCTCCCCAACGCCGTTGAAGTGTTCAGTCTCGTATATAAACCTATGTAACATCATAAATATTCATTATTTGATATCGATTACACATATACAACTTTTACATTACAATTACCATTTAAAAAATTTTTTTGAATAGTTAAATGTTTTTTTATACTTCGATTGTACAAATATATATTTTCTTAGATTTAACAATTAAACATTACATACAAATTTCAAAGATACGGAAAGAATACTATTTTTATTTTCATAGTTTTAACCATAACCAAAAAGCATGATGTTTANGAGTGAAAAGTGTTTCATTTATCAATAATATCATTGGTATTGGGGGAAGAATTGTGAATATATATTATTATATTCCATTAAAGCAATTCTACTGGTCCCAATAAATAAATAAATAATAAACAGATATTCTCATCATCGATCCCATCTAGTTTTGCAATAAAAACATTTTTTTAAGACTCTTAAAACAAATGCGAACAAATCTATTATTCAGATAGGATATCATAATAAACTGAATTGGGATGATTAAGATACCATTATCGACGCTCTAAGGGATTAATGTAAAAATAAAATAATATGTCTGTAGAAATTTATGAAAATTTATACACAAGCAACCACTGAGACCTTGTACAACATGAACAACTTTGTTATGAGCACTTCTTATTGTAAAAAAACACGTTGAAAAACCAAACAGGACTTTACCCTTCTTACATAAAAAATTGGCTTTACTTAATCACTTTCAAAACAGGACTGCGAAATTTTCATTTCTTTAAATCGATCTCTTAATTAAGGTACGATCGTTTAAAGATTGCCCTTTCCGAATATAAAATTTCCCAGCTGATCTTTTTTACCTATCACACCTTAATTAAAAAGTCGATTTAAAAAAAAAATAACTCGCAACGCTACCTTCGCCTTAGCAAGTTTTAAAGGCAATTATTGAAGAACTCACCTAAGAAATATATTATTAATTTGTTTTCGTATAAAAGCCCGAAGGCCCAGAAATTTCCCGTAGATACGATGCAGTACGGTCTTGAGGAAATCGCGTTCGCGTGGATCCTCAGAATCGAACAGCTCCAGCAGCTGCAGGACGAACTTCTGGTCAATCACCCGTTTGCCGATGGTTGGCTGGAAGTCGGAGCTCTCCAGGAAGCGCAGAAAGAACTCGTAGACGAGCTGCAGGTGCGGCCAGCTCGCTTCCAGCGTTGGATCGTCTTCTTCTGGATCAAAATCAGGATTCTCACTTGGTGGCAACGTGCGAAAAAGATTCGCCGATATCTATGGCAGAAAATAATAAAATATTAGGTAATTATTATTTATTTAAAAATAATACACTGACTCCAAATTAAGCTTCTACGTGATTGCATCAATTTTGACGGGACATTAAACAATCATGAGAAGGTTGTCAGGAGTGACCCAAGCTGCTTTTTTAAATTGTTTATTGGTTATAACAACTGTATTTATCATAAACAATTAAACAATTAGAAACAGCCACATGCAGACAGCGCCAGTAATAAGATACATTTCTTTCATTTAATTTTTATGTACTATAAATTACCTTAAGATAATGAGCAAAAATTTGTTGTTGTTACACCCTCGNAATGAATGCTTTTTTCCATATTTATTTAATAGTTTATTCATATTGTTGTTGTTGTTGTTGTTGCTTTTCGCCGTAATAATTTACTACCTAAAACACAACTTGTTATCTTTTAATATATTATCATTATCATAATTATATATAAAGCTTCTACATAAACAAAATAGTGCTTCTATAAAAATTTAGTAGGGTGGCACCATTGTATGTATACAAAATTCTGGAGGCCCCGTCGACTGTACTAAACTAGTCACTCTACAAGAGTGATAACTGCTCCTAACTGTCGCTCCTTTTCACCTTCAGTTATAAAGAAACAAACAAAAAATAACCCCAGTGTTCAAACAAAACACGTTCGCCTTCGTTCATTATGACTGTACTACAGATCGAATTTTGTCAACAAACTGAAATAACGTTCCGAAACTTACAATACAATGAAGAATAAACCCGCTGAAATCACAAAAAATTGTTTTCGAAAAGGAGTCGTCAGTCGTTTTTAAGCCCAAAGAACACGACCATCATGCTATATATATGTATATTTATATCGGTTAGTTCAAAGAGCAGGAATACGAAACAAGTTTTAGTGTCACGAAGCAGGCGACTCGGTCCTCCCTGTACAAGTATAGATTAAAATCTCACACACTCTTCCGAAGAAACAAGTACATACAAAGTAATTCATTATTACGGAAAAATAATAAGTTAGAAGTAACAAATTTAAACAAGCGTTCGACAACTTGAAACCGATCCGCCAGCGTAGGGTGATTAATTAATCAATTAAGAATTACTCTAAGTCCATTGAAAAATTCCCAACTGCCCTTCGCTATAAATAAATAATTCCAAACAAACAAACACAGAGGAAAAATCATTGTGAAGTTCTTTTAGAATAATGAGTAATTTTTTGGCAGTCACAAAATTGTTCGATGGTCCGACAACATAAAAAACAAACAAAGAAAAATTAGACACTTTAGGCTGGTACAAGTTACTCACACATAATCTAATAAGTTTATCTACACAAATCGTTATCTCTTTGTTTTCTGTCTCTATAACAGAACAGCTCCTGATAAGCGCGTAATTGCAGCAGCGGTGGTGACCTTTTTTATCATTCTTTACAGGTAACTGTACAGCAGCTGTCGAAGAATGGTGGGGGAGCATCGTCCGTCGGTAGCAGTGAGACGGCGCATGCGTTCACACCACACCATACACACACACGCACGCGCACACACAACCACACACAGAGGAGGATTATGGCGCAGCTGTGAGCGTGCCTTAATAAGTCGGTTGGTAATAGGTTACGTGATTGGTCGAACTTTAATAACGCTAACGCTAATGGACATAATAATATGCACTACTACTGGTCGGACAGCGTTTGCCCTTTGCCGTTTGTTCTCAATTTATTGTAGAAGCGGACAGTTATTAAAATTAAAATAATACAATTGTTTTGAACGACGACAGTCAAATAATTTTTCATCTCTTTTCATTTGTTGATGAGATGCACGTAAAACTGTTTTGTACGTAAAAATTAAAAAAATTTATTCGACAGTTAAAAATGGAAACAAATCAGAAACATAATTATGCTACTACAGTCAAAAAGACACGAAACGTTCAACAGAAAAATTATTTATTTGTATGTAATAATAAAATAAAACAAAGGTCGTGTTAAAGAGTTACCAATGGATTCCTTTTTTATTATTTTTTATAAAATTATATGTTGTCAAAAAGCGCGTGAGAATGTAATAATTATTATTATTATTAATATATTTGCCAGCTAACCGATGTCGTGTAAACACTGTCTTAGCGAGTGATCGATTTATATGAGCGAGACGGGATAGCGAAAGGGGAGCACAGAAAAAAAGTGAGAAACGAATTAAAGGAACGGGGAGACGAAAACGAGTGAATGAGCGAGTGAGTGTGAGGAGGGGAACGAGGATGTGGTAGCGGCAGCGGCGAACCATCATGATGTCTGAACACTAACAGTAACCACCTTAACTATTTACAGTAGACCAGCTAAGTTATAGCACACGTTTACCAACCAATGTCCTCTTCCTTCATAGCTAAACACGTCACCAAACGGGAACAACGGAAGAGGGGGAGAAAAAACCGATTAGTAAAAATAAAAAACATTTGCAACCATTAAAAATGTACGTATATAACACAATAACTCACCAACAAAGAGCCATGAATGGGTAAGGTAGTAGAAGCTAAGCGGTATCACTTTTTACTGTTAGCAGGACTATTAGCGATGGCCTTTTTGTTATGATTTATTTCTAGTTCGGCAAGCTTCTTCCAGAGCTCATCCCTTTCCTTTTCTCGCTTTTTCTCCCTATAAAAGTTCATTTTAGAAAAGCAATACGAAAAGAGGGAAGCGTGTATCGGGTATCTCAACATTCCGAAATTAGTAGAAGATCGAAGTACAATAAAAACTGAAAACTTAAACTTATTTCGTCTATTGTTAAATCAGGTGGCTCATCAAGTAGTCTCCGTGTCTCTAACAGACCTTTGTGATTGCAAATTCTTTCTCATTGACTCTGTCTCATTAAGTTATATCTTTCGTCTCTTGCAAAAGTTTAACTTATAACTAATTTTACTCTCAACGCCGCTTACAATGCCTCACTTCAAAATGTTAAAATAAAAATTTGTGTGGTACTTACTTTTGCCTTTCAGCCTTATAGCTGGCTGTCAATTCATCAAATAATTTCGAGTTCATTTCCATGAACGTCTTAAGCACATTATAGACTAGTGCGACTATGGTTTGGTTCCAGTGTTCTTTCGAAATACGATACAGGGCCGGGAACATGATCGGCATAATCATGTGATTGTTCTCTTCCATCAATGACATGATGTACTCGTTGTTCCAAAAATACAAAGCCCGTTCAGCCACCTGTTTACAAAACAAGATATTACAATATGATAATAATACACTATTGTCAAAAAGCATCATTCAAAACAGTTATTTTTGTTAAGAGCGATAGATATTGATCCCAGATTCCTCACAACTAACCCATTACAGGATTTTTTAATAGTAAATTATCACTAAAATACCTTCGCCAAAATATTTAAAAGCATACTACAATTAATAGGTAACAACAAAAGCAAATATTTTTTGCAAATGAAAAAGGTAATACTAAATTTACTAGATTCTAACCTGTTAAACAAATATGTTCAAAAAACCAGAAAAAAATAAGCAATCATCTAGTATGCACAAAATCGTCGAAGCCAAAGATAGAAAAAATTTGAGTTGTTAAAAAAATTAATGTTATTCTTGATAAATAACGAAACATGTAAACAGAAACTTGTCGTTAAATATCACTTATAAGTACCTTAAAAATTACAATAAAAATAGCAAAATAAAATAAGAGAGAAATAAATTATTTCTTTAAAATAAATAAAAAATTAAACGTTAATATACGTATCTTAAGATACAAATAATGACAAGACTCACCTGAAAGTGCGGACTGGAGACACACCTGGCGATTTGCCGAAAGAGCGGTTCTTGGATTCGCGTGAATTGCGACGGTTCTATAACGTCCAGCACCTCCTCGATCTCGCCCAAAAACATCACTTCCTTTTGGCTGCACGTTTTCGGCCAGAACTTGAGTAGACCTTTAACCACCGGTTCGGTCAGCGTCGGGTCCTTCTCCAAGAACTGGACCACGCAATAGGCTAGCTGCGCGTGGTACAGCGACAGGCACTTAACCTTGTGCAGGGGGATGAGCACCTTCACCAGGAACTGCTTGTGTTCCGCCTTCAACGGCAACGCGAAGCCGTTTATTATCGAGCCAAGGATCTCGAGCAGCTCCCCAACGCCGTTGAAGTGTTCAGTCTCGTATATAAACCTATGTAACATCATAAATATTCATTATTTGATATCGATTACACATATACAACTTTTACATTACAATTACCATTTAAAAAATTTTTTTGAATAGTTAAATGTTTTTTTATACTTCGATTGTACAAATATATATTTTCTTAGATTTAACAATTAAACATTACATACAAATTTCAAAGATACGGAAAGNAAAGTGATAAATAATAATTCAATAAAATATAAACACACTATATATTTTTAACTAGTACAATAAAATCTGTTAACTGTGTTAGATGCCATCTGAACAACCGAAATCGAAACATTTCAATGAAATATTAAGTAACTCCGATAGATGACAGTAATTGAGCGTTACAGAATGGCACTGTAAGTTAAATTGATTCTTTACTATCTAAATAAATGTTTCTTTACCATTTTAATAATTTCCGGATATACAGGTTCGGTTAGAACTCCTCGACCGCCTGTGATATAATCTACAAGCTCATTCAGGGTGCACCTTTTCACCTCTTTGCCCTTGAGATCAGCGACAGGATCCATAAAATCAAATGGTACACAACACTGTCGCAATTTCCTAATAAAAAGTTCTTCTTGCTCTGCCGCCGGAACATCTGCAAGCACAAAAACACAACATTCTCATTTTCTGTATGTCTGTTTGTTTGAAATAAATATACATAAAAATGGCTTTAGGAAGATAAGCATGGGTAGGATGCCCCCGCACAGATTGTATTGTTTTTTCTTAGTTTCAAACGTTTAAACGTCCTAATATGAACATAAAATTGAAATGTAAAAAAATTATTAAAAACAATGGCCTATGCGATTCCATCACTCTTGGGTCATTTTTCCAAAATTCACTTACATAGTGTAATAAATAGTTAATGGATCTCTTTGTGCCTCTTTAAGTCTTGTGATGATTGAATATCAAAGTTTACGTTCTCAGAGTTTCAATCGGCAGGGTGATAATAAATTTAGTATCAACGTCTAATTAAATTATTGAACAGCCACGCACGTTTGGTTGCAGACATTCATAGTAACAAACATAAAGATTCTTTTCGTAAGCAGAAAAGTAAAAGGTGCATTACTCCTATGTTTATTTTATTTATCCACGTTTATCCATCTAAGGGATTAATGTAAAAATAAAATAATATGTCTGTAGAAATTTATGAAAATTTATACACAAGCAACCACTGAGACCTTGTACAACATGAACAACTTTGTTATGAGCACTTCTTATTGTAAAAAAACACGTTGAAAAACCAAACAGGACTTTACCCTTCTTACATAAAAAATTGGCTTTACTTAATCACTTTCAAAACAGGACTGCGAAATTTTCATTTCTTTAAATCGATCTCTTAATTAAGGTACGATCGTTTAAAGATTGCCCTTTCCGAATATAAAATTTCCCAGCTGATCTTTTTTACCTATCACACCTTAATTAAAAAGTCGATTTAAAAAAAAAATAACTCGCAACGCTACCTTCGCCTTAGCAAGTTTTAAAGGCAATTATTGAAGAACTCACCTAAGAAATATATTATTAATTTGTTTTCGTATAAAAGCCCGAAGGCCCAGAAATTTCCCGTAGATACGATGCAGTACGGTCTTGAGGAAATCGCGTTCGCGTGGATCCTCAGAATCGAACAGCTCCAGCAGCTGCAGGACGAACTTCTGGTCAATCACCCGTTTGCCGATGGTTGGCTGGAAGTCGGAGCTCTCCAGGAAGCGCAGAAAGAACTCGTAGACGAGCTGCAGGTGCGGCCAGCTCGCTTCCAGCGTTGGATCGTCTTCTTCTGGATCAAAATCAGGATTCTCACTTGGTGGCAACGTGCGAAAAAGATTCGCCGATATCTATGGCAGAAAATAATAAAATATTAGGTAATTATTATTTATTTAAAAATAATACACTGACTCCAAATTAAGCTTCTACGTGATTGCATCAATTTTGACGGGACATTAAACAATCATGAGAAGGTTGTCAGGAGTGACCCAAGCTGCTTTTTTAAATTGTTTATTGGTTATAACAACTGTATTTATCATAAACAATTAAACAATTAGAAACAGCCACATGCAGACAGCGCCAGTAATAAGATACATTTCTTTCATTTAATTTTTATGTACTATAAATTACCTTAAGATAATGAGCAAAAATTTGTTGTTGTTACACCCTCGTAACAGCAGCAAATTTTGACGTAATTTATAATGAATAAAAATTAAAAGAATTTTTCATTAATATTTAGTATAAACACTATTGGTATGTCTCATATGGTATTAACATTTTTCTCATTTCTAATTTTCCATAAATATAATTTACTGAAAACAAGAATAAAGTTCTGTTTACATTCTATTTATACATATACTGCTATTTATTTGATTTCTATTTTTCATTTTTTTAGCAATGTATTTTGAACGAATATTTGGCGAACTATTAGTGACTAAATTTACACTAACACTACTATAATAATTGACAAAAAATGTACACCTAATTAAATAATATGCACGATTAAAAAGGAAAATAGCGAAACGATAGTTTGTATTTAAATCTTTTACCAGAAATTAAACATTAAGTAAGGTATATGTACTCAGCAAAAACGCTAAATCAGAATAAATATTAACGCAAGTTATTTTATACTATTTATACAAAACTATAGCCAACAAAACCAAAATCCCTATTATTATTACAATGTGAACAAAGAGCGTTTTTATCACAGCAAATATTTGATATTAAAAAAGTGATAAATAATAATTCAATAAAATATAAACACACTATATATTTTTAACTAGTACAATAAAATCTGTTAACTGTGTTAGATGCCATCTGAACAACCGAAATCGAAACATTTCAATGAAATATTAAGTAACTCCGATAGATGACAGTAATTGAGCGTTACAGAATGGCACTGTAAGTTAAATTGATTCTTTACTATCTAAATAAATGTTTCTTTACCATTTTAATAATTTCCGGATATACAGGTTCGGTTAGAACTCCTCGACCGCCTGTGATATAATCTACAAGCTCATTCAGGGTGCACCTTTTCACCTCTTTGCCCTTGAGATCAGCGACAGGATCCATAAAATCAAATGGTACACAACACTGTCGCAATTTCCTAATAAAAAGTTCTTCTTGCTCTGCCGCCGGAACATCTGCAAGCACAAAAACACAACATTCTCATTTTCTGTATGTCTGTTTGTTTGAAATAAATATACATAAAAATGGCTTTAGGAAGATAAGCATGGGTAGGATGCCCCCGCACAGATTGTATTGTTTTTTCTTAGTTTCAAACGTTTAAACGTCCTAATATGAACATAAAATTGAAATGTAAAAAAATTATTAAAAACAATGGCCTATGCGATTCCATCACTCTTGGGTCATTTTTCCAAAATTCACTTACATAGTGTAATAAATAGTTAATGGATCTCTTTGTGCCTCTTTAAGTCTTGTGATGATTGAATATCAAAGTTTACGTTCTCAGAGTTTCAATCGGCAGGGTGATAATAAATTTAGTATCAACGTCTAATTAAATTATTGAACAGCCACGCACGTTTGGTTGCAGACATTCATAGTAACAAACATAAAGATTCTTTTCGTAAGCAGAAAAGTAAAAGGTGCATTACTCCTATGTTTATTTTATTTATCCACGTTTATCCAATTTACTTGAAAAAAAAAAACAGTTAAATCTACAAAGAAAAAAAGAAATTTCGGACATTCAAAAATCAAATTAATTCCCAATATTAATCGGACTGTTTTAGCGCAATTATTTATTTATAGCATTAATACTGATTGAAATAATATATCATTAAAAGTATGGGGGTAACATATTGTATATATGTATGTATATGTATATAATGTCCTTAAAACGGCCAGATTGAGAGAAACCAATACGAAACACCCTGTATATTTCAACTTCCCCCATCTACTCATTGATATGTCTCTCGATTGTTTTATTTTTTAAAGAGATTAAAAGTGAAAAGATATTTTTCAAGGCAGCAAAAAAAAGGAAATCAGAAAATACGAATAAATTAGGTACAGAAATGCAGGTGATTTCAGTAACAATTTCATCTCGTTTTCGTTCTACATGGATACAGATCAACCCCTTGAGTCCTAGCCCTGATGAAACTTTTTGCCAGCAGTCGATACTTTAACTAAACCGTACGTCACCTGTTCTAAGCCAGTCCTTCCTCAAGGGAAAGTGCATTAACCTCTGCGGTAGAACGAAAAAAAATCTGATACGAGTAATCATCTCAAATCCATAACGTAAAATACTTGGTATTAATACAACAGAAGAAAATACATAACTTTTGCGAGTGAAAGCAGTTCTAAAATATTTTTTCACCACTTCTACTTAAATATTGAAATGTTAAAACTTTCAAGAACATTAGGGAGAGACGAAGTGTCTTAACACGAAAAACAGCAGAAAATTATATCTGTTGATATAAAACACAAACAATTCTTGGAATAGTAAAACTTTCTTTATAAAATTTTCAACAGTGTCCATCATATCTGGCATTAAGTTTACATTGTATTTTTTATAAAAAAGTTTTCGGCTTATATAAAACAATTACAATATCATTCGGGTCTGTTAGTAATTATTGCGAAACTGATTACAGTAGGTAAAGAGAAAATTAATGTTTGGGCAAAAAAATTAATTGCCAAAATCCACTTCATATTTTTATCAAATAGACTTTTCATATATTATATCTAATTCTTTATCAGGAGCTCTAAATAAACAAAATGGAAACCAAAAAAATATATCATATTACAAATTTGTTTTAATATTAATAATCCTAGACAAATACACTTTCTTGCTAACATTACATGTTTATTAAATATTATCGGAATTAACAGAATGGTTTAATTATGTAAAAATGGGGGGGGGGTGAATGTTTTGATAAGTACACCCTTTACTATAGGGATGCAACCTATCAGTCTTTAGCAGTCACTGATCGAAACTGATCGTAAAAACTACTGCAACAAGTACATTCTTTACTTGAAGCATGCCTATGACAGAGGGCAGGAAAAGACCTCAAGGTGAGTAGGGGGAGGCAGGTTATCAACCATAAACCAACATACACAAAATAACATTACCTAGGCTGGATTGTATGGTAAGTAATGGTTACGTTCGGTTCTCAATTCATCAATATAGTCTAGTGTTGGATTTAATTATACCTTTATATGTTATTAATATTTTTTTAAATCTGGCATATTTTCAAAAATTTCGTGAACATGTATAATATACAAAGTGTTTATTAACTTTAACCCTTTCGGTTGATATATTTTTAAACGGCTACAACCGTAAATGGACCTCTCTATTTTATTTCATGAAACACTACGAATTTGTTTCGCCATGAACTTACACGTACAAGTATGAAAAGATTATATCTGTCCGACGATCAGCACGTGAAAGAGGGAGAAATCAATAAACTGCCTCTGGAATAAACCGAACAAAACGTAAACGGAAAACGCTACGGAAGATAAACGAGGGGGAGGATGTTTTATCAAATTCTGACCGTTAAAAATCAGCGATGACGAAAATAAATTAATATAATTAATAATTAAATATTAAATGTGTAATAAAAAAAAAATTAAACAGGCTTTCGTACTATAACGAATACTTTAGGATAAGCAGTAATCTAAACAGTATATAAAGAATTTAGGTAGGCACGTCCAAAAAAAGTACATAATTATTACAAATTAATGGTTTTTGTAGCATTTTATATAAATAGGGTAGCACGTCTATGTATGTTACATTGAATAAAATTTAATGTAGATATGTAAATTTTCGTTTTAGATAATAATTTTTGTAATTAACACGATAGCGCTGTTTATTTCACAGTCACAAAATACAATTTTAATTAAAAATCAACTTAAAACAACATGGGTAATTGATGAGTAATGGGGGAGAAAGCAGGTCAGAGTAAAGAAGACCTTATAGAACAATAAACAAGTGTTTTGAGTAGGGGTGAAGTTGTGGAGGCGCAGTTGAAGTTATGAAATGGTGATTTTACAGATCAAGGGACCCACGCTTTGAGGGGGTGAGGGGTGGGAACGACCTTGTAGAACACTAAACAAGTATTTTTAAGTGGGAGGTACGTGACGGCGTAGGGGGTTGAAGTGAAAATTTGACATGATAAATGAGGCAACCGTCAGTCGAAGGGTGGGAGGAGGAGGAGGGATGATGACGCAGCGACAAAAGGCAGAGACGTGGAGACGAAAAAAAGAAGTGTTGTAGTGTTATATAATGCCTCCCCCTCCCAGCAAGAATCCCATTATTTGCACAATTACCAAAACATGAACGGTTAGAACACTTATTATATTAGTATCATAATAATAAAAGCGAAAGTGCATAATTCGCTATAGGTAGAAACTAATAAAACAACATAAGTGGATAATATATGTAGTCCCAACTTTAGTTTTTTCGCGATAGATAATAGTATTTAATTAAATGATATGTATATGTATGTAAAAGTGTAACGATACTTATACAAATTACAGACGATGAAAAATAACCCTCATTGGATAAGTTTATATCAATAATAAGTAATTAAATGTCTTATGAATGAATACTGGTTTTTAAATCTTTTTTTAAACTGAGAAGGAGGAGTCTATCTATCCATCCTCTCTACCTAATACTATATCGTCAGCTGTACCAATTTTGTTTTACTTTCTTGACACGTTTGATATAAGCTCACCTTATGCTCGGGAATTATGAACGGGTAAATTCAATATTTTTAGCGAAGACGCATGAAACAGCAAATATTATTTGACCTTGTTCATTTTCGTCAGGCAAAAATGGCATCTTGGAGGAGGTACACACTGATACACGCAACACACATACATGTTACACACATACCAAACGCTTGGTGTGTAGGTACTTACTAGAGATATAAGACTACAAACGCGGTTGATTTTTAAAAACACAACATATTTGCAACATTATTACATAACATTAATAAATCACCTGTGTATGTATTAATTTGTGGGCATAAAGGTTGCGGAAATAGGCGACAGAAATATATGCAAATAAACCAAACAGACGTCATAAAGGTTAATCGGCACAACAGACAACTTATCGGGCTTCTGAATATATACAATAGGCTATAAAACATTAATATTTAAATCGTCAGATATTTGCGCCACGATTGCGTTAATGAAATTGTTGTTTACATGTGAATTAGCAGACTTACCTTTTAAAAGAGGTAACTGCTGCAGTTCTACATCTTGAGAATTACGATACCTAGAGCTTCCCTGCGACTTCTTAGTCTTTTTCTTAAGGGAGCGTTTTGCGAAGGGGTCAATTCTATCGACGAACGCAGTCGTCGACATGGTTTTTAAAAAATTTACCACAATCACTATTATTATTTACACTGTAATCGCACTCGATTGCCGACCACTTCTGTACATTTCCCGACCTGCCTTTCGAAATTACAATAACCTTTGTCAAAGCACGATAATGTAAAATTTCATAAATGACATTGTTATTCGGATTCCTAAAATCGTCGTCTTCAAGGTGTGCCTCTTGAGTCTTTTAGTTAAGTCGTAAACGCCCAAAACACTCAGCCCGGTAATTCTCAACTTTCCGTTTTGTCAAAAATTTGTAGCGGACGAAAAATACCAATAAAACGAACGATTTAAAATTGTAAATATCAGCTCGTAGACACAAATCAATTGCTCACTTGCACTATACTGGTAAACCAACGAACTGTCTAGTATTTTCACCCGCCATCAGCTGGTTACAACGCCATAAATCCTGCATTGTAGAGTTTAATACAAACATTTAAACAAAAACAAAACATTTACGACATTAAAAAATATATTTCTTGCACGTGTGTGATATTTAAACTCGCGTATTATTTACGTTTAAACGTTTTTCACGATAATTTTCTCACACTATCCGACCTGATGCCGTAAGTACCTAGGGCTGAAAATAGATGGGGGATACTTCCTAGTCAATTGAGCAAATGAAATACAAAGTTATTACA